TAAAATTGATGGAAAGTGATAGCTCTTGTTTAAGTAATTACTTGTTCTATTTTTTGTTTTTACAGTCAATGCAAGAAGGTAGCACAATAATATTGTGTGGCAAGAATTCGGAACAGGTAGTGCAATTGGACCCAGCAGACTGTCCAAGTATAGAATGTTCATAATTGAGTTGTCCTGGCATACATATTTGGCAGCTGTGCATTTTGCTTTTATCTTATGTACTTCTTTTTATATGTGCTTGAAAATCGATGGGTTGAAGGAATGTAGAGAGTTAACTTACCAGGGAAACAAATATCATTCGTTATTTAACGAACTATAATCTTCGACAATGAGACAATTCGATACTTAAAATTCCACACGCCGAGTATTGCCCACGGAATAACTCAAAACTAAAAATGATCCAAATGAGGAATCTATCTTCGTTGCCAAGACCGAAAGGAAGACGTCTTTTCAGCTCATTCAATCTTTTAAATACCATTTCTAAAATGTCAGTAATTATACATGCACACTTTGTCCTATGATAAATGATCTTCAGCAGACTGGATCAGTTCCCTATTGGTAGTATTCTTAAGGGACCACCCACAGAGTGGGGAGCTTACAATTCTTGCTGAATGATAAACCTTTGCTGTATTCCTTTGTCAACAATCAGTACACATATACACAAACACATATGCACTTCATTATTATGTATTTTGCATTTTTTATTTAAATTATTTATTGAAGACTAAAAAGATACAGAGCATAATTTCACACAGCTAGAATATATGTAAACGGGTGTTATGGATTGAAATAAGATAACAAAGTGAGAGAATAATTAACATGCATGATCTAGTGCAAGCAAAAGAACCTTCACAAAAACAGGAAAGGAACCCAATCGACGGTAAAATAAGTGCTACTCAGTAAAAGGGGAGATTCTCATAGATACTAACTTTGTGCAAGGGTAACCTGGGGTGGTGAGATTCAATACCTATTCAAATTAGAAAGAATCATTAATGGTAATATCCAAAGGCAATGGGGCAACAGTGCAGAATGCAGAGGTCCTCAGACCGTGGGTACAAAATGGATAAACTCATAGTTCTTCTAAATGGAAAGTGTAAGTTCTTATGGCTAGGGTTGATGTTAGGGTTAGGTATAGAGTTGGGCTAGTATTATAGTGTAGGGCAGGCATAGGCAACCTTCGGCACTCCGGATGTTTTGGACTACACCTCCCATGATGCTTTACCAGCATTATGGGTGTAAGAGCATTATGGGGCATGTAGTCCACAACATCTGGAGTGCCGAAGGTTGCCTATCCCTGGTGTAGAGGTTAAGGCATACGGCTAGTCTAAGTGTTAGTGTAGTGCATGGGTTAAGAATTTGTTTAAGGGTAGTGTAGGATGTTAAGGGTTTATGTTGGTATAGTGTAGGGTTTGATGGTGAAAAGCAATATAGAAGTTAATGTTTTTATTGTTAACGCAGCACTGGGATATATATGTCCCACTGCTGCCTAGAGTTAGTGGGAGTTAGTTTTAAAAATGAAGCTGGAACTTGGGAAATAAAACCCATAATCTTGGGCAGAGCAGGATATGTACCGAGAAACACGCCTTATCTAGTTTGGTATCACATTAGCCTATAGGTTTGCTAACTCCTAAAGTAGGGTTGGGGAAGCCACAAAAGTTCAGTCTGGGTGGCAACCCAGCCCCTAAAACCATTCCAGAAGGCAATAAGGTTCCTGATTTACATAAGAGGACTTAAGCATTTTCCTAAATCCATCTATTTCAGTTCAGCAATTCGTAGACATCTTTGATTATTTTTTTTTTGTGTTGAGCAGCAACATAATTCATCATATATAACGATTGTGTTGGGAGGACTGAACAGTAGTAGATGCTGTAGCAAGCCAAAAAAAAAAATAATAGGTTAATTTACTGCTGTATCTAGAAAGAGTTACAGCTTATCACTGGATGCCTATTCTCTTTATGATTCTCACATTCCTACTCTGTTGAAGTGTTATTCTGCTCTCATCCAATGCCTATCTTTACCAGTGATGTTTATTTTCCTACCTTCATTTTTTTTTTTTTTTATTATTTATTTTTGTGTGCAGTTATTGACAGTACAGCTTGCTAAGCCACGACAGCTAAAGCAAGTATTTTATATTACACAAGTGTGTGGCATTATATCGTATGCACAGTTTTAAATGTATAACAGGCACTTTCCAAAGTACAACATTACAGTGTTAAATAGGATCCGTCCATCTAGGTGCGAGAAGATAGTGATGGTTTCAGTTATGTCTCTAGACTATAGACTAATAGCGAGTGAACTAGAGCGTAACTTTCTCACGGGTTGGGATGGGCATTATGTGGCTTTTTACTAGAGTGGTAGGTAGGGGTGTCTGGTATGTGAACAAAAGTCTAGTCTGTTCTTCATTCAGGGTCGTCCGTTCCCTGCGTGTTCGCTGCTCTTGGGACGAACAGTGTTATAGAGGCAGGATCCGATGATGCCACCAGTGCTCCCGCGGTGGAGGGAAAGTTTGGGTGTGATAGTCCCAGGGTTTCCAGGAAGGTCGACGCTTCCGCCATGGAGGGCAGAGTGTGCACTGTCCCGCCTTGAGTCACGGCCAAGGAGCTGTTCAGCCCCCATCGGTAGTTCAGCCCTGCTGCTCGCAGTTGTGTCGTGACTGGGCAAAATGTTTTGCGGAGAAGGAGTGTGGCCCGTGTTAAGTCCTGGAAGAAGGTCAGACTCGAGTTTTCAAAGGTGAAGGGTGTTTTGCCTTTTAGTGCTGACATTATCTGGAGCTTGTCAGGTAGGGAGGTGCAGCGGAGGATGACATCCCGCACCGTGGTGGACTGTAGGGGAGACGGGCTTGGGAGACGGTATACACTGTCGATTGCTACCTTCTTGGCTACTGCATGCGGCAGGGTTGTGGACAGCATTCTCCTAATGTAGTGGGGCAACTCCTCCGCTGTAATCGCTACGCGGATGCCCCTGATCTTGATGTGAGTGCATCTCTGGCGGTCTTCCAGTGTGGTGAGCTTAAAAGATAAAGATGCGTTTGCAGTATTTGTTTAGAGTCCTTCACAGTGGAAAGGTGAGATTGTACCTCTGTTAGGGCATTTCAGTGGTTCTAACCCTCTCAGATACCGCCCAGACCTTCGTTTTGAGAATGGCCAAATCAGCCTCAAGTAGCTTACGAATTTCGGCTAAGAGGAGTTTTAAGTCCTTTTTGGTGGTCGACGCTGAGTCGTCGGATGGTTCCTGTGACCCAGACTGTGATGGTGGAGAGTGTTGCGAGCCTTCGGGTCCGTTTTGACGCGGTGCAGAGCCCTGCTCCCCGTCGGGGCTGTCGCTTGTGGCAGAGGGCCTAGGTTGTGTTGGCCTTTGGAACAAGGCCTCTATGTCTCTTCCATTTGCTGGGGTGTGCGTCTTTTGTGAGCGCCTTCCCATGCCCAGCATAATAGTTGGAGAGGCAGGTGGTGTTTGGTGTAAGGCTGTTTCGTGCTAGTCGTTGCGATGCCTCCCAGGACACTCCCTAGGCCTTGCAGCATGTTGTGGGCCCGGTTCTGTGTTTCCGTCGGGCTGACTTAGATGGTTAAAAGGAAGGCATTTATCGATGCGACTTGCTCTTCTGACCCTGGCTGTGTTTGTGTGGTGGCCGGATTGGGCTCAATTCTGCAGATATCTTCCAGATTTGGTATTTATTTTAGGGAGCTTTGTGAAATGGCGTCTGGTCAGGACGATTGGTAAGCCCCTCCCCTTTCCTACATTCATTTGAATCCTTCATAAGGTCTTCCAGAAAAAAACAGCTGCCCAGAAAATGTCAAAAAATGCCTAAATCCAGAAGAAAAAAAAATGTTAGTGCTTATGCCCTCAAGCTAAGCTGTACAACGAAAAGGAGGAGTTAACTGTTTCAAACTACTGAAATAAATTCATAAAGTGACAAGAAAGACAGACATGAAATTTACAGCAGCAAACATGAATGGTAGAAACTGCCAGCTGCAGAATTTCATGGTAGAAATGATGCTCTCGGAACATTACTTGTGGGATGGCTACAGACATAAAGGCTTGATGATAACACAGCAGACTTCATCAGGAAGAACAAACAATAGGATTATAAGACTTCTAGTAGAAAATGATCGGTAATCCGCACCAGAAGATATGCAAATCTCATTACTGATCCTGAATAAGTGTTTGATTTTAAACAGTAAAGAATAGCAGCTAAAGGCATTTTGGAGCATTGTGCTAGGAAAAGGCCAAGAAATGCATGAATAAGCAAATGCCAATGCTGGAATTGTAAACGTTATGTTCTATTTTGGGAAGATTTGAAGGACAATAATACAGTGACATTACTGCTATTCAGTCTTCCACAGTCGTGATGTGCTCATAAATTCATTGTAAACTAGACCTGAGGCAGAATTTAAAGGGGCACTCCAGACCCGTAGAGCTCTTTAGCTTTCTGAAATGCTTTATGTGTGAGGGGTGTGTACAATACAAATTTACACTTTAAAAAAATAATCTTGTAAGCTCCCCTCTCCCCCAGCTGACAATTAGACAACAGGCCCTGTTACCTCCTGGTTTGGTTAGCTCAGTGGAGAAACATTCAAGAGGCAGCAATTGCTCTCAGAGCATCTGCCTTGCAAAGACCTCTTATTAAGCAGCATTGGGAAGATAAAGAAGCCACAGGGAGTCTGGGCGGGGCTAGAAGGGGAGGGCTTGCAAAGGCTGCAGACAAGTGATCTGCAGGTTTTGCAAGTTGTTCTTTTTTATATAACCCCAATGAAAAAATTAGGTTATATATGCTAAACAGTGCTTTTACATCAAGCAGCTTTCATACAGACCATAACAGAGATACGAGATGTAGTATGCCCTGCTCGAAACAGCTTACAATCTACCACTGATGAATGCAAAGGTGTGTGTTGAAGGGAGTGAGAGAAAAGAGACAGTTCACAAAGTGCATTGAATAAAGCATAAGAATGATAACAGGCTCCAATCTAATCTAAAATATTGGGAAGAAGGGGCTGTTCCATCTGGGAAGCTAAGCAATGGTTTCGAGTGCCAAGATCATTAAATAAAGATCTAAGACAGCCACACAGGAAATCGCATTACTTCATGGCGTGGATGTTTCAATGTTACCGAAAAGAGTGCTCCAAACGCAGGGTCTATTGATTCAGAGGTAATGAGCCACATGACGAGTGATGAGAGATTGTTCACAGAAATTGACTTTCTTACCTTTGCCTTTTCTTTTTTCTCTCTTTAATTCTCTAATTCTGACTCTGTTATAGTCTGCTGTTATGTTATCAAGTTATTACTGCATTCCCCCTGTACATTTAAATGCCCTGCATTTATATGAATCCTGCTGAAGTTTTTTTAGCAAGCTGAAAAGTTTGCATCATGTTTTATAAATCTTTGCTGATGACACGTACATGGTTATTTACTCATTCAATGTGAATTTCAAATTTAAAGTTAAAATAGCTAAATTGGAAAAATCATCTTAGTCGGCTATTCTTTCACGTCAGCAAGCCTGGCCTTAAATTTGAAATTCGCTTTGAATTCTCACTTACGTAAATAACCCAAACAGAGTTTCTAATCCCATAGACCAGGGGTAGGCAACCTTTTAGCAGCACTGTGCCGATATAGGATTGTGATGTCCCGTAGCGTGCCGGTCCTATTTTTTTAAAATTGAGGTGTGTAGGTTGCCGTATTCTGCTTGTGTTATTTTTACTGTAATTGCTTTGTATCGTTGTATTTGTGCGTATATGAGCTATTATATTGTATATGTTCATGTTCGTGTATGATACATATGAATGTGGGCTGTGTATGGGGGCTGCTTGTGGAATTGTGTGTGTGGATGGATATGTCACATTGTGTGCTTGGTAGTGTGTGAGACTGCACATGGGGTTGTGTGCATGTATGTGGATTGTTAGCGGGTTACATTTGTGCGGATTGTATGTATGTTTGTTTGTGGGCTGTTCGTATTATTTGTATGAGGGGAGGGTTTTTGTGCATTTCTGTGTAAATCTAGCACAGGCTTTCCTGGGTTCCAGTGGGGACCAGGCTGGCCAGGTACAGGTCAAGGACAGGAGCTAAAACAGCAGCTGCAGGCTGCTCTACTCCTGTGTGTATTCCCATTCACAAGTGCTGGAATGAAGTGCTCTGAGTTCACTTCCTCTACGTTCTGCAATGCATAAATTGAGGATTGTTCTTCACCACCTTTTCGTATTAGCAGATATCTGAAGATTCACTGGGACTCCTGATTTGGAGTCCCAGTGAAGTGCCTTGAGTGCCGTGCGTGACACTAGTGCCGTAGGTTGCCTACCCCTGATCTAGACTGATATTTAGGCTATTTCACTTTCTTAGTATATGCTTTTACACTCATAATCGTTTTTTGTTTCCTGTACTTTTAGACTCTGTTACATTATTTTTGCTAATTAATCTTTGTACGATGTTCGTTTATTTTATTAGTTCCTTGAGTCTTATTTGAATAAATAAAGTTGCAGACCTCTGCAGTTTTCTCTTATTACAATGTTCTTCTACTATTTCATTTCTTTACTCTTGTTCAGAATTTTCCCTTATACTAGTTTTTATGCAAAGATCATTTCTTCTACTGAGAATATGTCTCCTTTCACCAATCACTGGCCATTACATCTTTTAATGAATGTCTTTCTCAGCTGGCTAAATATTGTATATATGCCATGTGTACATACATACATACAGAAAAATGTGAACTCCGTTTAATCCAATTGGTTTTAGGGATCATCTTTATACATACATGCATAATTTCTAACTTCGGCAGCCAGAAAAGCCGGAGCGGGGTAAATGTGGTGGCACAGTGATGTGATTGCATTACTGGTTCTACCCTAAAGGGTGCAGGTCCACCTGAATTACTGGCTGTCATCATTAAGTTTATTCCTCCACATTTACCGATATGCCTAAAGAGATCTTAGGATGTTAGAGACACCGTATTGGCATATCTGTAATAGGAACTGCCATGTCATACTGTGCAGTACAATTTTTACTGCTCAGAGCGATATCTTACTGTGAAATATAGGACTCAGAAACATCCTCTGTCTCTTTAAACAACAGTCAAAGAAACAATCCTTAATTTTACTTTTACCGAACATTTTTTTTTTTTACCATTTATTTTCTCAGAAAAAGATTAAACCAAATGCATTATAATATTATCAATTTCATAAGATTATAAAAAATGTAATGCTACCTACAGTTGGTATAATCGCAGCCGATTATGATCTTCCTAATGATATAAGGTAAGAAAGGAAAAATTCATAGAATGTCGAAAACAAGAATTCAGCAGAAAGGATTTTTTGTACCTCTACCCAGTTGTTTTACTAAGTCTCCTGAACATAGCTATATTATAAATTCTCCGCAAATAAAAAAAAGTGATATTCAATGTGTCACAATAGATTTAGGCAATGAAAAAAAAATTGCATTCGCACCAAAATCACAGCTCTAAAATGAATTATGATCCAATAAAGTTGAAACTAAAATGTTGAAAACAATACAGTGACATTAAGTGGAGACCGGATGAACAAAGTGCTAGCTGCGGTGAAAAATTATGCTTTGAAAATCAGTTATGCTCATCTATAAAAAGAGCTATGTTTACTCACATTTTACATCACAACAAGCAGACAGATTTGTGCGTTTGCTTATAAGAAAGTAGAGCATCTTTGGGGTTTATTCACTAAAGCTGATTTGGAAATTTAAGGTTAGAATAACTGATTTGTTAAAACAAAAATCTTCAATCAGTTATTGTCACATTTAAGTTAGTTTTGTGCTACATTTTGTAGTTCTGTTTAATGAATAATCCATTATATCTTTAGCTACTTTTTCATGTAGAAAGTGTTTTAACACAAATGTTGTAAACAGAGGTGTAACTAGAAACCACAGGACCCCGGTGCGAAAATTGCCCTGGGGCCCCCCCATACATCTACCTCCCACCCTATACGTCTATGCCCCCCCCCACACACACACACATACACATGCAGACACTTACACATACACACAGAGACCCATACATACAGACACACATATATACACACACACAGAGACATGTAGAGACACACATACATACAGACACCGACATACATACACACATACATACAGGCACACACATGCACTAACAGAAACACACATTCACTCATATACACACACTCAGACATATACACACGTACACTCACAGACACATACACACAGACACACTCACAGACACACTCACATACACACACATATACGTACACACACTCACAGACACACACACACATACACTTACAGACACACACAAATTATTAACATTAAATGTCCATTAAAATGTCCACCCAGCCTCCCTACCTGGAGAGGTGGCATGGATCTGTCCCTGGGGTCCAGTGGGGCTTCAGTGCGGCGGGCGGCTGAGTTCCTGTCAGAGGCGGCGAGGGAGCTGTGTTCTCTCTTATCTGCTCCCTCGCGGGCTGTCTACTGATGCAGGGAGCCAGAATATGATGTCATATTCCGGCTCCTGGCATCAGCAAATGGTGCACAAGGAAGCAGATTAGAGAGAACACAGCTCCCTCGCTGCCTCTGGCAGGGAGGAAATTGACCCCCAGGCCGCCCTAAATTCTTTTAAAACCAGTCGCTACAGGGCCGGTCCTAATGCTGCAGCCACCTTAGCGCTCTGTTAAGAGCCTCAGGCGGCTGCAGCTGCTTCTCTCCTCCCCTCCTCTGTAGCGTTGGCGAGCTCCTCTACGGTCCGCGGTGCCCGGCCGGAGTGATAGGAAGGTGCACACTCAGTGTGCACTTCCTGTCAGTCCGGCCGATTACAGGAAACAAACAGAAAGAAGAAGGGGTGGGGTAAGAAGAAGGGGTGGGGTAAGAACAAGAGGGAGGGTAAGAACAAGAGGGGGGTAAGAACAAGAGGGGGGTAAGAAGTAGAAGGGGTAAGAAGAAGAAGGGGTGAAGTAAGAAGCAGAAGGAGCGGTAAGAAGAACAGGTGGGGGGAGTAAGAAGAACAGGTGGTGGGAGTAAGAAGAACAAGGAGGGGTAAGAAAAATGGGGTAAGAAGAACAAGGGCAAAGAACGGGGTAAGAAGAACGGGGGTAAGAAGAACAAGGGGAAGTAAGAAGAACAAGGAAGAAGAACACAGGAGGAGGGGGGCAGAGTAAGGGTGAGGAGAAGGGGAGATGAGGAGAACGGGGGGGACTGAGAAGAACACAGGGAGGGTTGATGGTGAGGAGAACACAGGGAGAAGAGGGGGTAAGAAGAACACAGGGATGGGGGTGAGGAGAAGGGGAGATGAGAACACAGGGAGGGGGAGGTGAGAAGAACACAGGTGGGGGGAGGTGAGAAGAACACCGGGGGTGAGTGAGAAGAACACAGGGAGGGTGGAGGGGGGGATGAGAAGAGCCCAGGGAGGGTGGGTGAGTGTGAGAAGAGACCGCTAAGGAAAGGGTGGGGCAGAGCTCTAAGGGACAGAACGGACAGCTCTATAGGACAGGGGGCAAGGCAGGGAGCTCTTTCACACTACGCGCACATACACACACAATACATCCCTATACATACACAGAAACACACAATGCATCCCTACACACACAGAAACACAACATGCTTCCCTTACACACAGAGAAATCGACAATGCATCCATTACACACACACACACACAATGCAACCCTTACACACAAAGACAATGCATCCTTTGCACACATACACAGAAACACACAATGCAAACCCTTACACACACATGCAAACACACACACTGCTTTTCTTACATACACACAGAAACACAATGCATCTCTTACACACACTCAATGCACGCACATACAGACACACACCTTGCATCCCTTATGCATACAAACACAGATTCACACAATGCATCCCTTAAACACAACCAGAAACACACAATACAATACACACTGCTTCCACTACACACAAACACACTGCATCACATACACAAACTGGTATCCCTATACACTACATACCATAAGCACACATATTATATCCTCTACAATAACACAAAACACATCCCCTACACACTCCACTCCCTGTGAGCAAACACATCGGTGGGTGGAACATATAGGGGGACTCATGAGTGGGCCTTATGGGCATACTCACCATCAGGCCCTGGGGCTCAGACCTTGAGGTGTGTAAGGGGCCCCAAAAAAATGGAGCTGCTTCCAATTCTCCCAGAACATTGAATTTTGTGACCACAGTTGCAAACAGCCTCCAGAGATCCTGTTCTACACCAGACCAGTGGAGCCAAACTGCAGCCCATCATCATCCTCATCTGGTTGTAAGTAGGCAATCTAGTATATTATTAGTGACACTGATCTATAATTTACCTCACATTAAAGGGACACTATAGTCCCCAGAACCACTTCAGCTTAATGAAGTGGTTCTGGTGTCTATAGCCGGTCCCTGCAGGCTTTTTAATGTAAACACACACTGTGTGCAGCACTGGCGTTAGTTCATATGGCAGATCATATGGGTGGGGCATTGTGATGTCACATGGGGGGCGACAAATTTTTCTTTTGCCTAGGGCGGCAAAAGTCCTTGCACCGGCTCTGATCCTGGGCAGGTGCACAAGTCTACTGGTGACCCACAGGAGGGGAGTGCACTGATTGCACTGCACTCTCCTCCTGCCCAGACCCGTCTTTACCGCAGTGCAAGTGCCCTCTGCCCCTAATTTACAGTGGCTCACACTCACAGCAAGCAGTGCCTGGAGCCCTTTGCAGAGACGGGAACAAAGATTTTCTGCAGCAGCTGGCCGTCCTGCAAGCATTACATTAACCAGCTGTTCTCCATGCAGCCACAGGTGCCGCTGTGCTGGGAGATTGTGATTACTCTTCACTTCCTCCCAGCCTACAGAGCAGCGCATTGGGGGAGAGAGAGGAGGAGGCATGATTTAATCTTACAACAAATCCAGTAAGCACATCTTTATAAATTTGGGGGGATCAGCTTTGTTTGCACAGTTTATTGGTGTTTACTCTGATGTCTGTATTAATATTGAGGGATGTCTAAGTAGTAACATCAGTGTGTGTCAACAGAGCCAGCCGTTTGGGTGTGCAAGCTGTGCGGTCACGCAGGGTGCCATGACAACAGAGGCGCCCGGCGGCCAACACAGCTCACAAGTTGGAGACACCAGCATATTCAATTTAAACGATTCGCTGGTGGTCCACTGGTGCGCACCAGCAGTAGTTGCAGTCAGATTATATCCTCTCCCTTGTGGTTCCGGCGCTCAGTTAGTGAGTCAGAGCACAGGCTCAGAGATTCTCAGCCTGCGCTCTGACAACATTGAAAGTCAGAGCCGTGAAGGAGCGGGTATTAGCATAACATCAATATCCGTTCTAAAACCAGGAAAAGGTGGGCATGGATGGTGAACTGATTTGGTAGTGCAATGGGCCACTTGACTGGTTTTGCCCCCCAGGCCTAAGGCTGCCAGCCCTCCCCTGCCAGCAGACTACCTCTTGGGCCCCCCATGACAGGAGGAACATGGGGGCAGTATCTAGGCGGCCCATGGTCACAGGGGTCGTGGCTGCGGTCGGGCCCCCTGCAGTGAGGGGCCCGGTCGCAGCTGTGACCCCGGCAACCGTGGTAGGTACGACACTGGTTGTAAACAGATATTTTATAGCATTAATAAATATATTCCCTGCCTTGTTATTCTGTTTTAGATCGTCCTTTAAGTTTGATATATTATCTTCATTGGATCCTCTAAGTCGGAAGGTGATGATACTATGATTTTTGTCTGTTTCTCTACTGTGAAACCCCAAATTCTTACATTCTACTTCTATTAGTTTGTACTTTATAATTATATAGCGTACTATGGTATTAAGCTGCATGCTGACATTACAGATTCTGTCATGCATTAGGGAGTTATTCTGCATGCTTGCATTACAACTGATTATGTGCATTAGGGAGTTGTATTCTGCAAACTGCGCAATACAAAGTTACCACGCATTCTACTGCCACAACAGATATTGCTTATTACAGCGTGATGACACCTCATGAGATTATTCCTTACTGTCCACATTACGGATTTATGTTTGTTTTTTCAACGTATAAAATATGGAATTATAAAGCTTGTTTGCATTGAAACAAATATTTTCACACTAAATAATGCCTTAGTTGACATGGCATTGAAAAAAAAAAAAACCTAGTGTGTCTTAGGAAAACTAGCTGCATGTATTTTAGCACATTTTATAATTGTGTTAGAAAAGAGATCCATGATTGAACTGTTCAATTGGGGACTATTGCAAGAGGTTGCCATATTAAAGGCAAATTCAACCAATCCCAGAGATGTTTATCAGTCTTAAGAAAACCCACATCTGGTTAGAGGTTTCCGATTGGCTATGATGATGCAATGCAGCTTAAAAGAAAATGATCACCAAATGTGTTTCAAGTACTTCTAAGAGCGGTTCCATGATCCAGCAGTCTTTTATAAAATAAGCTATATTTCCTCATTAATCCTTGAGATCAGCCATTATCTGCCCCAGAGCATTCTGGAATTCTTTCAGATTATCCCTCTTTTGTTTTATTCTCTCAGAAGCATCGTTAAATCTTAAACCCAGGTAATTTTGTTGCTACACTTTAAACACAAAATTCATCCTCAAAGTAACTTTTCACGAGCCCAAAAAAGAATAGGAAGGCAGTGTATTTATTGGGTTAAAGGGACACTGTAAAAACTGTATTCCTAGACCCTATTCTCGAAAGTGATTCTCCGCTCCCCCACCCCCGTGTTTAGACAATTACCTCTTTTCTCTGTGCTGGCTCCATCTTCACCTCCTCCAACATCCGCAATCGAAGGGAACCTAGTGCGTATGAGTGGCGAGTGCCGCTCATGCATCAGGCCTTCCTCTTAGGAATGCATTGATTCAATGCTTTCCTATGGAGGAGTTCAAGACTCTGGACATAATCATGCAAAGACAGCATGGTGAAGTAGTTCTCGTGAGATTAAGTTGTCTGGTTGCCTATAATGTCCCTTGGTCAAAAACAAACTAACACAAAAAAAAAATGTCCAATGCTATTTAATATAACAATAATAATTGGAGCTTTTTTTCACAAGGACTTTAAAAATGTACGTGTTGATTGAACTAGTTGGTGCATGTTTAAAAATATTCTTAGTATCATTTATTTATTTATATATTGCCAAAAAATGTGTAGCTACAGACATTAAGTGAAAAAATCAGTTGGAAAACTAGGTAGAATTTCATGACTGAAAATATATTCTTTAGGGACTTTTTCATGGCTTTGTTAAATTAGCCCAGAGTTTGTGTGTAACCCATATTTTGTTTGGAAAAAAGTATTTTATTAAGTGCAAGTTTACTTATTCTCATCCTTTACCTGGATAAAATGTTCTACTCCCGTTCCAGCAGGAACAGCTCCTGGAATAGGGGATTACTAAAATAATGCTAGCAAGAGGTAGATATGGCAGTGTTAGTGACTTTTTACAATTTTACTTCAATTTGAACTGTATGCAAGAAAGAAAGGGATATTTACTGAAGACGGAATTGTTGGTATTTCAAAGTAAATTTAAATTTTATCTGAAATTTTAGGCCAGATAGCCAAACTGAGTACATAGCTTACTTGGAGATTTGTTCCCCATTTCAGCAATTTGGTTGTAAGCATTTGAATCCAATTTGAATTCTTGATGATTCACACTTTATTGAGTAGCCCTGTGTAAGTGGCCATAGTATTTGTATTATTAGAATAGTTGTACAGCGCTACAGAATGTGATGGCGCTATATATATATATAATAAAACAATAATAATAATAATAATACCAGAGTTTACATTTACATTAATTGGTACCTAAGAGATAACTTGATGCTGTGGCACAAATATTCTCATTATTGCAATGACTACACTTGCTCGCCGCTTCCTACTTTTTTCTCTAGAAATTTTCATAGATACTGTCCACCTCGACAAATGACACCAATCTTCCTTCTGTAGTGATATACTCCTAATCTAGCAGACACAGCTCTAATTTTGGCCACCCAGTGGTGCCAGAACTCTCAACGCCCAGCCAAAGGAAGATCAAGGGACCAGATCTGATTGGCTGGAACTCCTCACTAAATCGGAGAGCAGCCCCGGCCTGGCAACACGTCAGCCCGGCAGCGATGGGACATAATACGTAATATATAGTGCAGGGCACTTTTTGAGCTGGAGACAGCTGGTGGAATGATGTTTCTGAAGACACAATGGTTGTAGCACCTTGTCTGGAGAGGATTCAGCGGGGGATTGACCCTTACCAGCACATACAGAGTGGCACCAAGGAGGGAACTTTTTTCCGTTAATCACCCCCTGGAGGGTGAATACACATTTGATACTGTGTAAATACTGTTATTGTGTTCCTATAAAGTATATTTGTTTCACCGTTCATCAAGTCTCAACTGAAGTCTGAGTTAGCTGCTATAGAGATGCTCTAATCAAGCAAAGACAAGTGGAGATATTAAGACTGAGTACCCAGCTCAGCTACAAATACTTAAACAGACACACCATAGAGGAACTAATATGTGGAAAAAGTAAAAAATATACCCTCCTTTGAAGTTCATGCATGTGCTGCAAATCCCCAAGGATTCAACGTCTTCCAGTAAGCTATGATTAGCCGATACCCTTTGATTTATCCAAGTCTTAAAGGAACTCTCTTCACTGGAAACAACTTATCGTAATGAAGTGGTATTGATTGGTGGAGTTCCTAGGTACCATCATCTTTTTTGAACAATTTGACACCAAAGTTGAGTCCTGGGTGGCCACCTGCATTGTCTACCCTCTCCTCTGCTCAACTGCCATAATGAGCAGAGATTGTTGCTGTAGGAAACGTGATAGGCTGAGAGCATAAAGTGATATTTTCATGCTATAATTGACCATCCATTGAAGGTAACAGTACATATTGGGTTCCTGGAGAAAATATTTGATAATGGGGCTTTGACAGAGGCTTTTTTTCTATCAAGAAGCTTGAAAAATAGTTTAAACAAAAACACAGGGCGCCCAAAGATGTCTTGTACCATAACTAATGTTGGCCTTAATAAGCTTTTCAAATAATTTTATATTTTTGGATAGACTTAAAATGTTTTAATATATATATGTTTTTATATGTAATATATTTTTTAGTTTTAAATATTTAAAAAATATATATTTTAAAAATGTATCCAAAAATATTAAATCATTAGAAAAGATTATCCCAAAAAATTTAATCGAGGTCATAATATACTAAAAGGATCATGGTTCTTAGCGTGTTCCTTTAAGTTCTATGGGGAGTCACAAAGGAGAGTTTTAATAGAAAATGAGTTCTTCATCGTTAAATGATTAAGAACCTGGACATGTTGTGTAGCAAAGCTACTGAGAGATGCTGCATGGTAAAAATAAATCAGAGTTTGTCTACACTTGCTGCAAGGCCAAGTTGCACCTGTCCGTGGCTCTACAATTGCCAAACAGATGGCAGAAAACACTAGGTGTGACCCCATTTTTAAATTGAAATTTGCATGATAGTTAAAATGTTACATTGTCTAGAGAACTTCACTCTGTGTGAACCAATCACTTTCCCAATTGTAGGATTGATAGAACAAGTTATTGCTTTCATTCATAGCTCAAATGTCACTAAATGAAATTATTTCATGGATTGATTAAATTATCGATAAAATCACCTTAATGTAAAAAACTAAGATCAACAGAGCATATGGATGACTAGCTTGGCAAATTAAATATTCATCCTAAAGACAGATAATCTAAAACAATTAGAATTATAATAATTGCATACAAACTAAAACCGACTAGACCTTTTTTAAGATGCAAATAGTAACATAGACATTTTATTATTACTTTTGAGAAAATATAACATTTTTCAGAAACTATAGGACTCGTAAATTGCAAAAAATCGAATTTGTCCAAAAATATTTTTTTAATTAGTACGGTAACAAAAGGCTTTCAGTTTATAAATTACCTTCATAGTGGCAACTTTTATGGGTGTGGGTGGTGTTAAGAGGCATTACTTTTATCTGTATTTTCAGTCTAGTGTAGACAAATAGTGATTTTTAACCCCTCTTACCCCCTGAAGCAAATCATGTGCATGCCTCAGAATGGTGGGGTTCGTAACAGCTACTATATATGGTGAAACTCTACAGACAGCAGAAATCCATGATCCCATCTATACACCACCTCTTTAATACAATAATAATTATAGAAATATCAGTAACATGGGCACATTATAGTTTTATATTCGAATAAAAGGGGCTCTAACCGAGACTAATTTTAAATATATCCTGGTGAAAGATTATTTTTCGTCGTCATCATTGTATATATACAGTAAAACAAGTGTTTTTTTGTTTTTTTCTGGAGGGAAATCACAGCATGTGACTCCTGACAGCCATCAGATTTAATTAAAATGAGACTGAAAGAAACATCTTGAAATGCCCATTGTTGGTCAAGGATTCTAGATCCAAATCCTGCAGGTATTGTCCATATTGGAAGGAGGAGTAATGTATCAGTTGAAATAACAAGGAGAGATACATACTGCCACATCTCTATGCCCAAATACTTACTATGGAGAGAGGGGCACTAGGAGAGAACTTTGACTGGGCTTCAGCTGGGCTCAGTGGCACAGAGAGCATGCTGGGAATGTCAACCAGTTTAGGCAACTGTGACTGAAAGAAACTGAGTCCCTGCTTATCTATTTCTCTAGGGGACATTAACGGCAGTGACATGGTGATGGGAAACAAACATGTGGGTGGATGTACTACATCTGTATCTACTGTCTTTCCCTGAAAATAAGATAGGGTCTTATATTAATTTTTTCCCCTCGAAACACGCACTAGGGCCTATTTTCGGGGGATGTCTAATTTTGGGGGAAAATGGTAGCAAACATGTGCTAGAAAGCAGGTCTACATTTAGGGGAATTATCCTGAACATAGATAATTTCACTAGGGCATGGAATCCAGCGAATCTATGTTTGGGGAAACTTTCCCAAACATAGATCATCTTACTCGCTAATGGAATCCAGCCAATCTATAAAATTCCCAGAACATAGATTAGAGAACTAGCAACTAGACACTAGGGCTTATTTTTGAGGGATGTCTTATTTTCAGGGAAACAGAGTATGTTATCACTATGTACTCACTGTGTGCCCACTATGGACAGAGGCTGCAGACTGTTTCCTCAATATGTGTATGATGCGCAGTGTTTGTGTCCTGCTCTCCACTTGCCTAAAGGGAATAATATCCCCATATATAAGAAGTAAACCTTGGAAGAGGACCTTAATTAACTGATGTTGTTGCAGTTCATAAGATTCTAAAATGGGTAGCCTCTCAAAAACAACCTAACCTGATAAATAACCAGCACCTTGGAGTCAGAAAACATACTGAAAATTTCAGTGAGTGCACTACGGGTATATAATAAATAGTGAATTATTATAGCAGAGTCTCCTTCTAAAAATTGTGAAGCATCATTTGTTTTATATTTACTATTAGCTTACAGATTAAGTGATGCAAACTTTTGATATAAGGATGCGTAGAAATGTACAGGATGCATGTTTTATGGAAACCGAAGGTAATCAGCATTCTGCAGACATTTAGAATTGCATCCAACAGTGTGCAGGCATCGTGTCACTGTGTTTTTTATTAAAAATCCAGACTGTTAAACATACTCAGCCTAGACAGACATTAATCAGACAGTATATCCCAGCAGTGATCTTTAGCCTGGTGAAATTCTGTCTAAAAAGGAAGCATTACGGAATCTTGCATGCTGTACAGACGAAAAGAATGTAATGAAGTTTGTGCTGTAGACAGATTGCGATACAATGTGAAAGATCAAGGTTATTTGTGCATTTGAAATAATTAAAATAACTGGAGTTTTATCTAACTTCTTCCTTCTAGAGATTATCAATATTATTATGTATGTATGTGTATATTTATGTGTGTATATATACACATACATATGGAACCAGGAAGGTTGCGCTCGTCTAAGCTCGCATACATTATAAGGGTATTGCTCAGACCAATTGATAAATCACACAGAATCCATCACTGTGGCAAAACTAGGGGGGATGCTGTGGGTGCAAGTGGCAATGGTGCTACATCAAGAGGTGTGCCACCACCAGAGACGAATGCCCATAATATCTAGATCTCTGATTGTCCCCCCCTCCTTGAAATGGCAGGGAGATCAAACGAGCTCCCTATCGGCTCTTTAGAAGTTGACTCCCTTGTGGTCTGCGATGCAGTCACACTACTTCTCAGTTCCAACACTCTGTGAGAGAGTCAGAGGGCGGGTGAGGGTTTCCCATCTTGTGCTCTGATGTTGTCAAAGAGCACTATACCAGGAGGATTGCAGCTGCACCAGCATCCCACTGGAACACCAAAAAAAAATTAAAAATAAATCTATCCATACCTTTAGTATAGGACAGGATTCTTTGGCCGTATAGTCAGTCTCCATGATCTTCACTGCTTGAGACAGGCATCATCTGTGCTCATTTGCATTTAAAGCAGGGGACTCTGGGATAGTTACGGAAACATGATTTATTGAGTTTCTATGCCCACTAGTGACTTCTATAAATCCAACTTATACAGGATATAAACAATTTATATATTAAATCCAGTGTTTAGTGAATAAATACCACACTGCTGTATAGCAATAAATGTTTTAGCTACAAATGAAAAGAACACTGTCATAAATTTGCATTATTATTAAACATACGACAACTAATTAAGTAACAATGTGAAATGTCAGCAACCAGTTGCTGGGGTCAGCAAGGTATTGTCATAAATAAAAAGTGGTATTAATTAATGGGATGTAAATATAATCTAACCGCTTCACATTGAATATGCAGTGCTATTTTTCTCAGTTGTTTAAAAAAAAAAAAAAAAAGATATGGAATTAAAAAACATGCAAAGGCGGGCTAGGCAATTCAAAAAAGGAATGTAAGATTTGCCATGAAGATATGCTAGAAAAATAACTTGGTTTCTTTAAGTAACAAACAACAATCTCATAGGGGATATGTTAGCATTACACAAATATATACGGAGACAGTCTAAACAGCTCTCTGTTACTTATTCACTAACGGAACTGTACGAAGGAAGAGAGGTCACCTATTTTTGAAGAAAGGACAAGAGTTATTTTCAGCCTATAATTACTACATAAATATGTCCTTTTAACCAGCATAAAATAATTAATATATTATATTTTGTAACGTATACACATAAGTAAATAAACCCCTCTTTTTCATTGGCTCTCACGGCCCACCTTTACTCTAGGAGATTTTCAGACCTTCAAGTTGTGCATTGTCAGAGTACAAAAGTGCTTCCTGCTAAAGTGATATAAAGATGGCTGCCCCGTTTAGCAAAAACTTGCATTTAAAAGCTATTAAATAAAGCGTATTCATTACAAAATAATGCACAACTAGGCTATATTACTAGGCTATATTACATGTAACTTTTTATTTTCAATAAACATTGATGACGGTTAACATTATAGAAAAAACAGAAGAAATTATAAACTGCGCCTAAAGTAATATTAACACTTGAGTGTAATTAAAAAAAAAAAAAATATATATATATATGTATCAGAGGGGGCCTTCTTTTATACATACTTTAGGAGCGATTTATCATTTTTATTTTTTTATTTTTTTTATATTGTTTGTCACAAGGTTGGGGAGTCCTTGTAAGAATCACTGCTTCCTCATTTCATTAATAGTGAGCACCTAATCCTCTTCTAGTTATCTATTATCCTAAACATGTGTTATTGGATTGAGTTCTGGGTTTTTTGGAAGACACCAGAGTAAACGGAGGTCACTGTTATGTTCATAAAACTTGCTTAAAATGATGCATTGTTAAAAGTTGCCTGATATATCTCGGGAAGCATTTATTTAAAAATGTGTAGGAGCACATGGCCAGCAGCAATGCTTGAAGGAACACTCCAGATCTCTAAAGCACTTTAGCTTGCTGAAAAGCCTTATATGTGAAGAGTGTGTCCTCTTTCTTTCATTTTGCAAAAAGTGTAGATTTCAATAGAAATTGACACTTTTATAAATGAACCTGGTTTTTCACCCCCTTGGTTTTCAGTCTGACAGCAGTTCTTGTTACTTCCTGGTTTGGATCGCTCAGAACATCTGCCTTACAAACACTTCTCTACTGTGATTGGACAGCCACAGAAAGTCTGGGCAGGATTAGAAGGGGAGGACATGCAAAGACAGTAAACAAGAGAACTGCAGTTATTGCAAGCCAGTGGCGTCGCTAGGTGGGGGCCAGAGGGGGCCATGGCCCCCCCTACATCATGCTGTGCCCTCCCTTGGGCCCCCCCAAATGCCGGTAACTTGCTGGCCATGTGTTTCAATTATATTCCCTCGGACTGTAAAAATCTGTGACAGCCCGAGGTAATGCAGTGCTGGGGGCTGTCTGTGGCTCGAGGGAGCACTGACAGGCTCCCCGGCACAGGCCCTGCCCCCAAATAAGTAATTGATAGCTGTGCTGCAAAATGTCCTTGGAATTTTTTTTCCAAATGTTGGCAACTATGGCACTGTATCAAGGGTAATGTCATCATTATTTTCCACCAGGGATTATTAAAAAAAACAAAACGCATTGTGTCGGGGCTTAACATGCGACAGGGGCGGGGTCAAACTGTGGCAAGTGTGGGGTTAAATGTGCCCCCCTACTTTTGTCCCTGGCCCTCCATGTGCCCTCCCTAAGAATGAATCCTAGAGACGCCACTGTTGCAAGCTGGTTTAGATATAACTCCAATTAAAAAGTCCATAATTAAATGCGTGCAAGTTTTCATTTATCTACTAAACAGTGATTTTAATTTATTTTATATTTAGGCAATAGGAGTGTCCCTTTATGTTAGATGTGGCATTCAGAGAATAAACAGCTAGTATCAAGGAACCTGGTTTAAGGTACATTATACTAACAGCAACTTGTACCATCGACATTTAAAGTAAAGCATGCAAAAAATAAGGTTGTACATAATTTTACTGACTCTTTTCAGTGGTAGAAATAATACTGTACAATTTGCACCATAAAATGTAACATTTCTCTTATTTTTTTTCAATGTTGTTTGTTTTTATTTGGGTACTTATTTCTGGGCTTTTTTATTTTTAAAAGAACACTCCAAGTACCATAACCACAAAAGAGTGCTCTGCTGGATGCTGTTCCCTGCTTTTACTACATCCAACAGATAACTGGATGTTCCTGCATAGGAGCTTCTGTTAGCACTCCTGAGCTAAACCCAACAATACAGGGCCTACAGAGTTTTACTACTTACAGCTTGGGAACTCCTGGCAACATAACCACTAGAGCACATTTGTGTGGTTATGGTGTAGTGGTTATGTTAGTTGGAGTGTTTCTTTATGTGCGCTGGCTAAGTGTAATGTTGATATACAATACAAACACAATAGGTGGAGCAAATAGTATACTTTCCTCTCTTATCAACGAATTCAGCAATGCTGTGGAGACAGAGAGGTATACAAATAGTGCAGATAACTCTAAATTACAATGCAAAAATAACATATGCAAGAAAACACTCACAAAATTAGAGCCAATATTAAACCTGGCTCTGGTGTGGATGGCCTTAGGATTTTTTAAGGGTGATCCAAATCTCTCTGTGAATGGTCTGGATATCCGGTCTGTAGTGTGGAAAATTCCTCCCAGTAATAAACTGCAGGGGATCCAGATAGGTATAAAGTAAAAAGATATTTATTGGATACAGATAAAATAAAAAATGTAAATAAAATCTATGAGATAAGTAAAATGCTGCCAAAACCGTTTCGCCTAACGTTGCTTCCTCAGTTGGCTAAATCCTTGTTTGTAAGTCCATACAGTTCTTTAAATGCTGTGTATAATCCAAATTTGTGGTCTTTCAAGGGGAACGCAGCTTGCGTTCCATTCCTCCGTCGGCGTTTCACTTCCTGGTTCCGGTCACATGGAGCCTTAGCATTACTGGAACCAGGGCCGTCTTTAACGCGGGGCAAACGGGGCAGCGGCCCCGGGCCCAGTTTCTCTTGGGGGGCCCGAGGCACCTGCCCCGTGGGCCCCGCTGCCCTCATCAATTAATTTTTTTCCCGTCCCACCGGGTGGCCCATGCACTTAGGGCAGTGACGTACATACCAGGGTCACGGCTGCGACCCTGGTATGTAGCCACAGGGCCAGCCTCTTCCCCTGGGGGGGCCCAGGAGGCGGCCACCCCAGGGCCCCCCGAGGCTGGCCCTGCTGACCCCGACCGGCCACCCGCCCAGGAGCCCAGCACCACCACTGGACCCCAGGGAATAATCCTCCCCAGCACTCCAAGAGGTAAGGAGGCTGGGGGGATTACATTTTTTTTTTTTTAAATGTGTGTTTGTGTGTGTTAGTGTATGTGTTTGTGTGCTAGTGTATGTGTGTTTGTGTGTGTTAGTGTATGTGTGTGTTTGTGTGTGTATGTGTGTGTTAGTGTATGTATGTGTGTGTTAGTGTATGTATGTGTGTGTTTGTGTGTGTTAGTGTATGTGTTTGTGTGTTAGTGTATGTGTGTGTTTGTGTGCTAGTGTATGTGTGTTTGTGTGTGTTAGTGTATGTGTTTGTGTTAGTGTATGTGTGTGTTTGTGTGTGTTTATGTGTGTGTTAGTGTATGTATGTGTGTGTTTGTGTGTGTTAGTGTATGTGTTTGTGTGTTTATGTGTGTTAGTGTGTGTTAGTGTGTGTGTTTGTGTGTGTTAGTGTGTGTGTTTGTGTGTTAGTGTATGTGTGTGTTTGTGTGTTAGTGTATGTGTGTGTTAGTGTATGTGTGTGTTAGTGTATGTGTGTGTGTGTGTCAGTATGTCTGTGTGTGTGTCAGTATATATGTGTGTGTATATCTGTGTGTGTCAGTATGTGTATGTGTCAGTATGTCTGTCAGTGCGTCAGTATGTCTGTTAGTGCATGTGTATGCGTGTGTCAGTATATCTGTCTGTGTGCCAGTATGTCTGTGTGTGTGTGTCAGTATGTCAGTCTGTGTGTGTCAGTGTATGTGCCTGTGTGTGTGTGTCAGTATTTCTCAGTGTGTGGGTGTCAGTATTTCTGTCAGTGTATGTGTGTCAGTATGTTGATCAGTGTATGTGTCTGTGTGTGTGTGTGTGTCACTATGTCGGTATAGGTGTCTGTGTGTCAGTATGTCTGTATATGTGCCTGTGTCAGTATGTCTGTCAGTACGTCTACCAGTGTATGTGTCTGTGTGTGTGTCAGTGTAGTGTGCCTGTTTATCTGTATGTAGTCAGTGTATGTATCTGTGTATCTGCTTGTGCGTCAGAGTGTGTACCTGTGCATCTGAGCCGCAACTTTAAATACAAATACACCCCTCCATTCAAACTTCAACACTACATATAAAACACACTCCTGCATTGAAACGTCAACACTACATACAAGCACACTCCTACATTCAAAAACAAACACTACACATAAATGCACACTTGCATTCAAACTCCAGTACCACATACAAACACATTCACACAAACATACTCCATACAAACACATGCTTACATTCAAACATACTAACATGGCTCAGTGCTAAATACAACCCTGCAAGCATGGGAAATTGGTAGAGTCCCAGCTGTCAAAGCATTGTTGGAGTTGCACGACAGATGGGGTTCTACCTTTAGTCCAACCTTGCAATTGGGGGTCCCAATAAAATTAATTCTACTTTAGTACCGCCACTGCGTTGGGATGGATGCCGTGATTGCATACCAGGGAGTGAGGGGCGAGAGCGGCAGGGCCCAGGGGGCCCAAGCAAACACTTGCCCAGGGTCCATTCGTTATTAAAGACGGCCCTGACTGGAACGCATAACACTTCCTGGTTTCGATCTCCTGCATCGTGCGTTCCATTAGAGTGACGGCCCACCTCCAATTTCATCATCTGTGCACTCTGTGTGTGTGGAACGCACTTTGCGTTCCACCAAATTTGGAATCCTTGGTCAGTCTCTTAGTTAATGTAATAAAAACAGTCTCTATAAACACTATACTCCTATATATTATGTAGTCCAACAAAATAATACATATTCTTGACATGAAGTATACATTGATATTAGCTGATATAATTGGAGAGATAGATAAATGAAAGATAAATTGATTATATCAATAAAACCATCATTTTACATCTTGCAATAACACTATAGCTACATAATATAGTTCTTTATATATAATTGCAAAGTTCTTTTATCCTTGAGTGCAAATTTTTAAAGTGACAGTGCAAACTTAATTTAAATATTTCTAAGTTGTGTGCTATTTAGTAGTGAATCCATTTCTATAGTTTTATGTGGACTCCCAATATCATCCCACTTCACACAAAATTCTAAAAGTGAGGTAGTAAACCCAGACAGATATTATTTAAAGTGACACGTTGCCTTATTCGATATTCTTATTAAATAGTATAGCAGCACCTTTTTATAAATACAGAGAGGGAGGGGAGGGGATTTGAGAGAATATATAAATAAGAATAAATAACAAGGGGTTAAAACGACTATAAAAATATAAATATTAATATAAAAAATGACACAACTCAAAATCTTGATTAAGATCATGTGGGATCAATGTTCTAAAATTGAAGGGGATCCAGATAGGAGGAAGAGGAGGAGGAAGAGGGGTAATTTCCACGGTTATCAGGCCAGTCATTTACAAGTGGCTCAGAGGGTGGGTTCCTGCACCAGCATAGGCCAGGTACACAATTGTCCAGCATCTCCACACTGTCCCATGGAAGCGTTTAGCTGTCCATCTCCCAAACACTGGAGAGAAAGAGGAAGTACCCCCCTAGCCACCCGCGATCCCTGGCCCTGAATGCTGGTGTCCGCTCAACTCTACTTGTGATATGATTTTATCATCCATTTCAGTAGATAAAATATAATGCATTTAAAAATATATGTACAAATACATATGTGTGTATATATATATATTTTTATTTATTTTTTTTTTTTTATATATAAAATATAATAATATCTGTAGTTTTTTTTCCTTTTTTTTGCAGATTTGCCAATTACTCTGAACTATTTTCTGGATTTGCGTAAGCTGGAATAGCTCAGTCAATCCCTGGCTTTCCATTTCAACCAACAAGGCATGCACCCAGCACACTTATATGACATGGCACACACGCACAAACATTTACAAAGTCTTCGTAACGGAATAAATGGAGGTCCACTTATACATGGCCAATACATGAATGGTAGAAATCACAGCTGTACTATACGTGTAGTTTTCAGTCTGGAATATCTCATTAATTAATAATCAGATCACTTTGTTATTTTGGAGCAGCTGTCACATTGACGTTTTATTCTGCCAGTAATAATTTTAAATGTTTGTGCAGATGCTATTTGTGTGCAGTGCCTTTGCAACAGACTCCATTTTATTCATCTCCTACCCTATATCAAGCACCAACACCCTGCTTTATTGATTGCTCTGTGTCCTTGCAAGGCTACTTTTATGTCTTCAGACAGCTGGTATGTAGCAGACACGATCGTAAAAACACTGCTTATTTTTTATTCTGGATTCTATACAGATGGCTGTCTTAAAATTATACTGCTTTTATCTATTTATTTATTGATTGATTTATTGATATATGTTATTTTCTCAAACCATACCACTTTATTCTTTTATTTTTTTCTGACTAATGTTTGTCTTTACCTCTTTCTGAATACTTGAATATCTACGATTTCTAATTATGGATTTATGTATAATTTATTTTAATGTTATATTTAATTCACATTTATCCTGTCTTGCATTCACTTGCTCATTTGTATTTTCAGTGAACAGGGTATCGGTAAAAAAAAAAAAAATTAAAAAAATATTACACATAGGACGTTCATTAGTCTGATAATATTAATTTTACTTTGAAAGTGACCTCTGGAATATCTTAACATCATTGTAGCAATGTATTTTGTTATTCAGGTAATCATGACAGTGGGAGAAGAGGATGTGGAAGCAAATACAAGGATTTTAAGAAACACAAAGAACAGTTGAGAACAGAATGAGGTGATTAAGAGAAAACATGTATTGTATAAAGCAATATATTAAGCTGTTCTGCGTCCTTCAACATGGCAAAATTGGCAGATAGTTATGTTAACCTTGCGAATTTCTGATCATTCACTCCCGTTAAATATGCATATAAATTAATTCAAGTGCCCCCCCCTACCTCATCGCCATTAATGGCTGACCTGGTTAAACATACAAGTACTATAGGTAAGGTTTTAGGGGGTCAGAGGTTATTGTAACAGAGTAGATGGATTTGTTGCAACCCTAACTCTTCTGCTATTATTTTGATTATTATTAAGGTTTAGGCTATTACATGCATTTGTATAGTGACAGCATACACTGCAGTGGTTTGCAATGTTACTAAAAGAAAAGGTAAGTGATCCCTAATTCACAAGTCCAAACAATATATATATATGTGTGTATTTGCCAAATAATAACCAAATCACCTGGAACAAAGTTTTTTTTTCTTTTAATCTAAAAAGACTACCTTCCTAATACACCCTAAATAAATATGGGGTGGATGTCCTTGTATAAGAACATAAACTAAAAGTAAACTTAGAGAAATACATTGAATTGTCACCTTCTGCTTATTTCAATAGTTTTCTAAAAATACCAATAATCTTCCACACCTGACCTTAAAGGAGCACAAAATATAAGTCCCACATTTCTACTACCATGAGTATGGTAGCAAATATGTGATGCGACAACAAAAGAGAAATGACATGGTGTCAAGCAGCAACCATGTTTGCATGTTTTGCTAGTTTAATTTCCAGGTCTGTATCCTCCGTAGAGCCAAATTACCAATTAGGCAGTTGCCTACAGGCTAATGTCATGTAGGGGGTCACCTGTTTTGATCACTTATAACGTGCTTTTATGGAGGTTTGGTGGCCTGGGGGAGGGACCCTCCCATGTAGGGTCCCTCCCATGTAGGGGTTGCCTGTTTTAAACCGTTATAATGTACTTTTTTTAAGGTTTGATGGGCTGGGGGGGCTGAAATGTAACCCCTGCCAAAACCTAAACAAACCCTTTTCTTAGGTCCAAATTTAATACCACCTAAACATGCAAAAAAAAAAAAAAAACTTAACCTTAATTCTAAGTTCTTAAAAAACACCCCACGCACCCTAGCACCTTAGTTCTAAGTACTATGTAACTCAACTCTAACCTTAAAACCAATAATTGTACACAGCCCTTATACCACAACTATAAACCCTCCAAACTTTTTTCCAATAAGCTTTCATTGAATTTTCAAAGACATAAAGAAATCCATATGCCACATAATACAATGTGACAGGGTTCAGAGAACACACCAGAAAACACAATACATCATGAGTTCATAAAAAAAAAGCGTGCAATGCCCCATTTCTATCAACTCTCCAAACCATCACACATCACAATAGGTATCACAAGTAGAAATAAAATGAAAAGCAGCTTACAAAGCAAGAGGACCAGTAAGAATATTAAGATAAATAAGAAGAGTACAGTGCTAAGAAAGCAAATCAAAAAGCAAAGTGAGATTTTAAATATGTCTCCCTGTACTTGGTCAGTTTTCATTTTCCGAGAGTCACCAGAATATTCCTCCCACATTCCACATTTCCTGTCATATTATCTTATAGTTTCCCCTTGGTGAAGGAGCCATTTTTTCCCACTGAGTGCTTCTGCTATGGTGGGTATCACAGGGAGTCTACATTATGAAGAAGACCACATTGGTGTTCATGTGAACCTGACCACTCATCCTCCAAAAATGAGAGGTTCAGCTCCCTTTGTCAAAAATTGCCATGTACTGAGTTACCTTCAGTAATACAGTGTTTGGCAAATAAATGCTTACCTGTTAGAAGAAAAAATTCTGGGATTTGTGTCGTGCTCAACATAACTGGTTCTGATTATAAAAAATGTCTAATCTGAAGATATTTATAGAAAAATCTCTCTGAGGAATATGATAATGTTCATGCATATCCTAAAAGATCATTGTTGAATATATATATCTCCTAGGACTCGTAGACTATTCGTCACCCATTCCTGCGAGAAGAGGTTAGGGATGCGTCTTTCTAAATAATTAATAGGTGTGTAACTGGTAAAACTGGAGATATATGGGTTTTTTTTACGTGCCTGTGCATCCCACACATGTAGGGAATATTGGGATGAGGGTTCAAGGGTGTGTAGGTGAGGCATATCTTTCCCCTGTGTTTTGAACAGAAAGTAAATTTTCCATGGGTAGCATGAACATAGAGACACACTGGGCCAGAATGGAGACTTTATGGTAGGTATGGATACATGGAAAACCTAGTCCTCCTGCTCACCTAGGTAAATACATTGAGCTTCTGGAGGTTTTCTTAGGTTTTACGCAAATTTTTTAAAAGCCTTTTTGTATGTTTACTAGCATTGTATTCTTAGTGGGATTGTGCATAGCAGATATAAGATTTTGGGTAGAGGAGTCATTTTTAATTATGCTACCCTGCTTAGCCAGGACAACGTATACTGTCTCCACATCACAAGGTTCATTTGATTTGCAGACCAGGTCTTTGCCAGATTGAGTGTAAGTATGAAATGGATATTTGGGGGAATTTGTATACCCAGACACAAAAAAAAATAATCCCTCCATTCATATTCATAAAATAGTTGAAGTTCATCCCCTGAAAGTCCTACTGGTAAAGCCTGGGATAATCAGAGATTGAAGTAGACAAGTAGTATAGTTTAAAAAGCATATACCAGTGAGGAAGCCACAGTCACAAACGTGCGTGTATATTTACCATACGTATAGTAGAGTTAAGCATGTATGGAGATAACACGGAATATATACATAGTGAAGTATTTAATGGCATGGTATAAGGATCTTACCTTGAAAGTGGAGTCAACACGCAGAGTAAAGGTACCCTTTGCAATTTTACACAAGCCAAGGGGACTCAAGCTAGAAATCCCCAAGGCTGTAAAACAGTGCACTGGGGCTGATAATAACCAGTGCTTTCAGAAACGAGGTACAGGCAAGGAATAACCAAAAGTGTAGTCAGGGACGGAACCAAAGGTCAGGACAGGCAGCAAATAGGCAAGAGCGAAGGACGAGCAGAAGATCAAAACCAGAGTCAGATGAATAGCCAACAGGAACAAACATTCTGACAAGGACCAATAGCCAAGGTGGGGTTATATAGGCTGTAATCAGCAGACATCAGGAACAGGTGAGTAAAGTCAAGGCATACAGGTTCAGGCTACTAGATACCAGGAACAAGCAGAAGTAGCCAAAGATACGTGAAGCCAAGGATAAGGCAACCGGCTGGGATACAGGAGACTCAGGTTCGAACCCAGCCAGTATTTTTTGTTTTTTTTTATTTGTTTTACTGTGTCATTAAATAATTCACTATGTATATATTCCCTTTTGTCTCCATACATGCTTAACTCTACTATGCGTATGGTAAATAAACACGCACGTTTGTGACTGTGGCGCCCTCACTGGTATATATTTTTTTAAACTATACTACTTGTCTACTTTTGTCTATCTGGGATTTGGGAGTGATCCCCTAATTTGAGTGGCCAGCCTGCACTGTTTTGCACTTTATCCCATTTACCGCCCTTGGATACATTATCAGAGATTGACCTTATGGTAAGATACATAGCCAAAAACAAACAATGATGGAAGAGCCAGTCTGTAATGCTGGAAAAGATTTGATATGCTTAGTAAAGGCCACAATGATGTCATCAGAAAATGAACCTAACACATGGGAGGAGAACGAGGACATGGAGCATCTCAAAATTAAGGGGTTATACCGTATAGCAACTGCCAATGGCTCTAAAGCCAAATCGTATAAAATGGATGATAAAGGGCAAACTGACAGGAGCCATTATAGATCCTATATGGAGAGGAGAGAAAACCCAACTGTTCTAATAGATGCTGTTGGACATGCATATTGTAATTTCACGGCATCTATGAATGAGTCTGGGAAGCCAAATCTACTCAAGACTTCCCACATATGTACCCAATAGACCTGTCAAACACATTTTTTGGCATAAAGGGAGAGAAGCAGACAGGAGTGAGACACCTAGCAAAAATGTAGAATTTTCTAGAATTATCTGGTTATCTGTTATC